TAGTTTGGGGATAGTAACGTATCTCGTATGTAACCACATCACATACATGTATGCATGTGGTTCGAAATTATCGGATGTATGTAACCGGCTGATTTCTTGATTGTACATGAAATTGTAATTAATACTAGGTTAGTGAGAGTAACTACAACCAGCGAGGACGTCCACAATCTACGTGATCGGATGTGATCAGGGTATCCTTTGTGCTCCCAGCCATGATTGTCAATAACATACAGGCTATTCATCTAGCATTGCGTAGTTAGTTATTAAGTACTCTTTGATAACGTACTAAATTCCACAATAATTTTCATAGGACTATTTTCAATTCTCGTGTTACATACCGTTACATATAATAATACTAAACATCTTTGACAAATCCTTTTTGTCCTTAACATGCTAATATTTTCATCTCTCTCAATCAGGTTTCATTCTTCAAGTAGTGTTTAGAATTAAGGGGTCATGCTCAGTCAGGAGGCCGAAAAAAGAGTGTTCTTTGGGAATTTTTTTGCTCGAAAACTATAAGACCTTTTTCAAAAAATGTGTTTGTATTTCAAAGACTGCAGTTTCTAGATTATAAGGTAATTTTTTTATTTAAAAATATTTATTAGTAAATAAATGGTGAGCGATCTCCCGGATGTCTCTTCACAAAAAGTGGTCTGCCGTGATCACTGTAACTTCGTAACGGTTTATCTGAAATTAAAAATTCAGTAAGATTTATGTAATGGAAGAACCAATCTTGTACTTGAATGTGGGGTTTTTCGAAATATTGATTAAGAACAAAATAGCGGACGTTTTCCTGAAAAAGTGCGATTTTCACCTAAAAAATCACTTGTTTATGGTCAATTAAAAAAAAAGTATGGAACGAACAAAAGAATCCTTCGTTCAAGGACAAGTTTTTCTGATTTGAAATAAGGCGCAAAAGGCTTCATGTAAATCGACACCGTAGTTTTCGAGAAATATTGATCACCGATTTGAAAAATGTAGTTTCGACAAAAACGCGTTTAAAGTTTCAAGTTAAGATTACACTTATATAAAATGTTCATTTTTTAACGCCTGTAACTCTGTCATTTTTAATTGGATTACCTTGAAACTTGCACAGAATATTCTCGAGATGTACTTAAAGAAAATGTAGAAAGTGAAAAATCGATTTTTTGAAAATTTCTGACTGAGCATGAATGACCCCTTAAGAGAGTCGGTCGTGACGTCGCCCCGCCAGCTGCTCGTCCGGGAAACGCGGTCCGCGATCAGGCAGCGATCTCGCTAATCGTCGGCTAAAGTCGACTATTACCGGCTTGCGCGTCGTCGGTTGCTCCCGATCGTCGCCTGGGCCATCTGTAGGCTGCCTCGCATGATTAACACGCCGTCTCTGTCTCACTGACGCGTCTCTTTGTGCGACAAGCGTCTATCCTTATCGCACTCATCGGTTGTTGTCATACGAGATGCCTACATGACTTTTAACCCAGCGACTGATCTGGATTACCGTTAATCCAACGGTAACCACCCCAGTTGACAATTAACAGCGAAGATAAACGGTACTAGTTTTGACGTGTTCTATCTTTTGGCCTGTACCGAGTCACTCAATCTCCCCACGTCTTATTGTATTCGTTAGGCAATACAATAAACGGAGACACCTCTTAATTGTATTATCGTTTTTATTGTTAAAGTGTTGTTTTATTTAAATTGTATTGTGAAACATTGTGCTGTAATAAACATGTTAGCACAAGTCCAACAAGAGTAAAAACCTTACAAGTTTTATTGACTACTCTTTGTACATTTTGGTCCTTCGAGCCCGATATAAACGTGTGTTTCACCAGTGCGTGATTTTACACCACTAATCGTAAATGCAGTAAAGGTCAAGAAAACCGTTAGAGGTCGTTACCGCCAAGATGGATGATTTGATATTGGAGCAACAGGCTACCTTACGCCACATCAGTCGGCTTTTATCTAACCTGAAAAGGAAAGGGTCGGTTAATATCGACAGTTGCATGGTAGAGACGTGACTCGCAAAGTTGGAGCAATTATGGCAGGATTACGAGACCCGCCATAGGCAACTCATGTCGCTGAGCCGCAGCCTCGAACATCAAAACCATCCATACGTTTCCTTCGAGACTTACGATGAGGCCGAAGAGACGTACCTCGATCAGGGGATTGCTCCGAGACGTATGCTCAAGGATTTGAAGGCTCAAACTCCAACGGATGCGTCGAGTCAGGGTTGGTCAACCAACGACGTCTTATCACGATATCGGCTGCCACCAGTACGACGACGACATCCTACGTAATGGCGGGCGGTTTCATCACTTGGATCTCGCGTTGCCAACGAAGCATCCTGCCCTACAACCGGACAACTCTTCCTGGACGGTGCTGGGGGCAAAGGCGTCCAACAGCGATGCCTACACGGAAGTATCCGATTACTTTTCAACCTTTGCCGTCAATCCTGGTGGATTTTCCGTTTTCCACGTGTCGGTAACCACCTTACGAAAGGTATTACCTGCGTACTTGTTCGCGGCAGCGTCGGTAAACAGCTGGTTAGAAGTCCGGCGAGTGTAATACCGCGGCGACCTTGCTTGCGCATCGTAGCCTACGATGCGCGGATCACAATCGTCCGTCAAGCCGCCGTGAAATCGGTGACGTATACTTTTCTACGGGTTATCGGGACGCAAATTCTCACCGAGAAGGAACCTGCCTCCCCTCTCGGCCGGAATTAAAGCGTGTACCAATTCACGGCCGCTACTAATGTTGACCTATGACCCTGCGGACTTCGATGCACTCACTTCGAGTCGTCTTCTCTTCGAGGAACCCCTCCTCGCCGCAGCGGATCCTTGTTTGTATGATCCGAATCGTACACTATTGTACGAGGAACGTCGATTAGAACTGTATTAGTCTATAATTCTATTTGTCACTCACTTTTTCTGATCGTAAGGTTAAAATTGTACCGCGTTCACTACTCTAGTAATCGCGCCCTGCGCACGCTAAATTTCACTTGCGTTATTGCGTCTTTTTGTACAAGTAGAAACCATTCAATTCAGGGTCATTCGATTTTTTAGATACCGCTCAGTGAACTGCTTCAAAAAAAGAGGCGTTGACGGTAGTCGATATTACTTGACGTACGATTGTCTGCCATCAAAACACCAAATAAATTCTTAAATAATATACCAAAGATTCTTTTAAAAGTTCTTGGTTGAAACGTATACCAAACATTGCCATATTGTATTTTTTTTTGCCTATTTGAAGGCTGATACGATAGTCATTGATATAATACTTAAGAACTTTTTTGGTATTTTGATTCCAGACAATCCTACATTGAGTAATGTTGGTTACCGTCGACGCCTCTTTTTTTTGCAGCAGTGCACTGAGCGGCATCTAGCAAATCACACCATTACAGGAACTTAAAAGAAAAATTTATTTTCATATATCTCAATAATGTATAAATAAAGACCGCAATTTTTTTTACTGTGCGTTGTAACTTTTGTACAGAAGAAATCCTAAAAATCGCCTATTTTTTTTACTGTTAAGGGGACTAAGCAGACAGATTTGGTAAAAATGTGACTTTTTTGGGAATTAATTACAAGGAAATGAATACAAATTGCAGGTAGTACTGTTGGGTAATGTTTACACTTATATATTAATAGTATAAAGCGTAAAAAAATAATTGTCGATAATATATGTATCGATACATATATAAGTATATATGACGGCACTACAGTCGTTTGATGTGTATGCGTTCTTTCTGTGATTTTGCAGTGATTGCAAAAAAAGAAACGGAGGTTCAAATCGATTTCAAAAAATTGAGCGTGTGTAAAACATTTCTACTTAAAGGCTGAACTTACGCATAAGTCTGTAAAAACTCCTGTTTTGACAAAAAAAAAAATAGCTTCCTTTTCAGTGAAAAGTTGCGGTTTTTTTACATTTACTGTTTTGCAGACGCAATTACTATATGTTTGATTTTTGTTCTTCAATACAGAATGCAGGCCTGCGGAGTGCCAACTTTTCTAGGATATTTTATAATTCAATTTTTTCCAGCCAAGATCACTGCAAAACCACAATAGCTCCAGAAAAAAATGCTTACTCATCAAATGATTGTAGCGACGTTACATACAGGGTGAATCAACAAGAACAACTATCTAAAATAACTCGTTACTTATTGATCGGATCAGAAAATGTTTTAACAAATTATGTCGTATTTTAAGAGACGCGTCGGATGGATACAATTTAATGCTTTTATATCTTATTTTTTTTATATTAAACTGATCTTGAGTGTTTTCAAGGTCAGTACATCTTTTTTTTAATACCATCATACGATAGGTCGTTAATTTTATTTCTCTACTGGGAATAACGTGGTATTACAAAAAAATGCTTTGACTTTAAAAAAAACTCAAGGTCACCTTGATATCTAAAAAAAAAATAAGATATAAGGAAATCAAATTGTATCCATCCGATATGTCCCTTAATGCTATATAATTCATTAAAACATTTTTTAATACAACTTATAAGTAATGTGTTATTTTAGATAGTGTTTCTTATTGACTCACCCTGTATATGTATATATTACCTAAAAAAATTTTTTTATAGTTTGTATTATTAATATATGTTGCCCAAACGTGCTAGTCACAACTTGTATTCATTTCCTCGTAATTAATTCCCCCCAAAAGTTACATTTATACCAAATCTGAATGTCTAGTCTCCTTAAAGTCTGGGCCCCAAGATGACCCACATTTGTCATCCAAGGTTGAACTTACTCCAAAAGTTTTAGTGCATCAACTCTCTGTAATACATTTCCAGTTAATATTTGGGCTTGACTCGTAATTACGCGATCTCCCTGCATACCAACTCGTGAAACGATAAAACTACATGAAATCCCGCGGCAACAATGAAACTCAAGTGTGTTTCTCCTATTTATGCGTCGAGGGACCGCCGAGGCCGCGTAACCTCCGGTCACTGGAAATCGCGAGGCGACACGGATTTGCGATGCGTCTCAATTGGGCTAACTTGTTCGGTGTTAACAGGTCGAGAACTACCTAAGTGAGGTCAAGCTGAAGCAGGTCGAGATCTCCAGTTACAAGAAACGGTTAGCTGAGTCCGAGACCAAGTACCGGCAGCTGCAAACCTTGTTCGAGTCGGTACGCACGGAGAGGAACTCGCTGAATAAAAGCTTGACGGAGGTACAGGACGAGGTGCAGGAGCTTAAGCACAAGCTGAAAGTAGTTAACCATCAGACCGAACAGCTGAAAGAGGATATCGTGACCAAAGAAGCCAATCTGATCAAAGAGGAGTTCCGTAAGCGGTTTACACTCTTCATAACCACTCGACCCGCGATAATGCTGATTGGTGTTCGAGGAACTATCGTCTTGTATGATCCTTCGGCTTGATTCAATTTTTGTGAATACTGTTTTGGTCTTATCTTAGTTACGGGAATATAGTTCGTAATTTACTGGGTTAATAGAGAAAATATTAACCTGGTAACTGGAGAAGATGAATTAGCCTCGCCGTGTGTGTATAATTGTACCTTCTGAGAATAAGTTGAGTTAAGAATTTCACTTTTCTATTCATTCACTTACTGAGTTTTGACATTAGGAATGCCATCGTAAGTTCGAGACTCTGTAATCGGGTCAGAATGTCATACAAGTGTCATATATCGCAAATAGTTCTGATTATGTGGGTAAACATCCGTACATTTACCTGAAAAAGAATAATTGCCATTTTTGAAATACCAAAAGCAGCATAGGCAAATGCATATATAGAATTATACTTTCTTTCCAACTTTTAATATTTCCTTCTACATTTATAAACGACCAACTCTCATTATTTCCGAAATCATTTTTGAACAATTATTATTTCATTAAGTTTAAGATAATAATGGTAACGGACAGTAATGTTGGATGTAGTTTCGATATGGTCCACCTTTCGATTTTGATGAAACTTGGAAAATTGTTTCATATACTCTTATCTGAACATTTGTAAAAGATTTTTTGGAGCATTTGAAAATTAGTATACATGGGAATATACATATATATACATATATGTATAATGGACTGCACGGTCTTATGGTAGGGATAAAGCGAAATCGAAGGACAGAAGTAACACTGGAATAACTCCTCTCTTGCCCGCACATCACAGAGGGAGGAGGGATAGCGACTGGAGGGCGATGAGGAGAAGGAATGCTGGACGCCTGTGTGTCTTCACTACAGTCGTACGAGAATATCCCACCAACAGCCCCATTAGAAAGAGAGGAAAGTACTCCAGTTACTGCCCTCTCTTTCTAGTACCGATTTCATCCCTACCATAAAACCGCGCAGTCTATTACATGTATATGTCTATGGGTCGTAAGATGCTTCCATCTCGGACGAGTTCTCGGACGAGTTACTAACAGTTTCGCAACATCTTCGTGGAAGTATAGATTTTTAAGGATTCTTTTTCTAATTTTGACTGATATTGATTGTAAGAAAAGGTCTGGGCCGAAAAATAATACGTGTGACAAACTTTCCATGGGTAATTAGACGAGCGAAGCGAGTCCTAAATAGACCACTTCTTACACTTTTGTGATTACTACTACTCCTTTCACTTTTGACATTGAAAACTAATATTTATCTATACATGTGCACAATCTATAAACAAACTCAATCCTTTATGAAAAACTGATCCCTTAATGTCTCACTGGTAATTACGTATTTTCCCTTTGGTCTAAGATTTGATTTGTATAACAATTGTTGCAAAAATATTAACATATAAATTAATAATATTTTAAATAAACAAGGAATAGCTTTATCTCTTACTTACCTGATCCCTATACCGAGTCCTTTAAATTTGAAAGCGTCCGCACCTTATGGCAGGTCCACATTTGTGCAACGCGCGTTGCAGAACACACTTGAAAGGGTCGATTTTAATGACTCGACGCGCAGCTGACAACTTCATGCAACGCCAAGCCATGCAACGAGCATTCTGACGCACATCGTAGAAAATCGTGTGGCGCGTGTATATCGGTCAACGGGCCCTCACTGTCGATGGTAGAGGGGCGATATCACCGGAGCGGAGACGACTGTGTCACCTCTTCCACCATCGACAGTGAGGGCCCGTTGATAGATATACATGCGTCGACACGGTTTTAATAGCGTGGTTGTTGAGAGCGACACGGCCTTTCATTTTGTGCAGCGACAGACTCACCCTGTATGCACTTTACTTACGAAAATATTATAAATTATTATAAATATCAGAATTTCACAAAATTGTCGAAAAGCTAAGTACTTTTGTAAATCGAACTGAACGGTGGACGGGACTTTCCTTTTTTTCGTACATTTACCTTCAAAACGAAGCTTTAGGTAATTGGGTAATTAATTACCGAAGGAACAGTAAGTAGAGGCAATGACTGCTGCGCCTTTTCTTGCAGATTCTCTACCTGACTATTCCTTCAGTAAGAAAATTGACCGACGACCTGAAGTTTTGTGTTACCAAGTAAATGCATATAAATGTGCATTCGAACAAAGTTATATACAGGGTGTTCGAC